GAGGAGGAGGAGGAGGGGTCTATTTGACTTACCTGACTGCGGCCATGTGACAGTCTACATGCACGATGTTGAAGTGTGACACGGTCGTGTAGCCGGCCGTCTTACGAGACTTGTTCTCAAAGTCCTCGACGTTGCAACGCTTCGTGAACGTGTAGATGCCCAGCACCTTGTGGATAAGAATGTGATTATTATTATTATTATTATTGCTGTTATTATTTCTATTGTCATTATTATTATTATTATTATTATTATCATCAGGGGTAATGAAAACAAATTCACATGATTTATTCACATTATCTATATATATATTATATCTATATTTTTGTTTATTTTATTTATTTTTATTCAATCCTGATATCATCATTATCATTATTATCACTATTATTATTTACATTATTATTATTATTATTATTATTATTATTATTAATAGACTACCTTATTGGGATGGTACTTGTAGCCTTCCCTACAGATGCAGCAGGTCAGGCCTGTCTCTTCACCTAGATCCTCCATCTGCTTCAACACCGAGCTCTTTGCTGTTACCTGTAAAACGTACAGCAAAGAACTCATGTACGTGCGAACATATACACAGTCTTGGCAACACATAATCCACACATAGTCAGACTTGTATTAGAGGATGCCAATATAGAATGGACATCTGCTTCAACACTGATCTCTTTGCTGCCACCTGTAAACCCGCACAATGTACAGCAAAGAACTCATGTACGAGCGAACACACATACAGTCAAACTTGTGTTAGCAGATGCCACTATGGCGAATGGACATCTGTCGGAGCAGGGCACAACTTTGGTGCTTCCATCAAGTGACTGTTCTAAGACAGATTCGATGGAATATCAGATATATCAAACTCAATACATAACATATATAACATACTCAGTATGTAACCTTCCCGTTCCTCCCCTCATCTCTCACCTTCCCCCTCCACCCTTCCTCCCTCCCTCATCTCCTCACCTCCCTTCCGTCTCGCATCGCCCGTGCATCCTCACGCTTCCCCCCCCTACTCCTTCCCTCCTCCCCTCATCTCTCACTCTTCCCCCTCCCACCCTTCGCCTCCTCCCTCAACTCTCTCACACTCCCCCCCCCACCCCTTCTCCCTCCCCTCATCTGCTCACCTTCCCCTCTCACGCCCTTCCATCCTCCCCGTCATCCTCTCAGCCTTCCCCCTTCCACGCCCTTCCCTCCTCCCCTCATCTCTCACCTTCCCCCTCCACCCCTTCCCTCCTCCCCTCATCTCTCACCTCCCCTCCACTCCTTCCCTCCTCTCCCGTCGTCTGTCACCTTCCCCCTCCACCCCTTCCCTCCTCCCCTCATCTCTCACCTTCCCCCTCCACCCCTTCCCTCCTCCTCATCATACTCATCACCTTCCCCTTCCACCCCCCTCCCCCTCCCTCATACTCTCACCCTTCCCTCCACCCCTGTCCTCCTCCCCTCATCTCCTCACCTGTCCCCCCACCCCTTCTCCTCCTCCCCTCATCTCTGCACCTCCCCCTCCACACCCTTCCCCTCCTCCGCCTCATCTCTCACCTTCCCCCTCCACCTCCTTCCTCCTCCCCTCACTCTCTCACCTTCCCCCTCCACCCCTCCCTCCTCCCCTCATCTGCTCACGCTTTCCCCCTCTAACCCTTCCCTCCTCCCCCCTCTCTCACACTTCCCCTCCCCCCTTTCCTCTCCTCCGATCTCTCACCTTTCCCCCTCCACCCCTGTCCTCCTCCCCCCTCTCACATTTCCCCCTCCCCCTTCCCTCCTCCTCTCATCCCACCTCCCCTTCCACCCCGTTCGCCTCCTCGCCCTCATCTGCTCGACCTCCCTCCACCCCTTCCCTCCTCCCTCATCTCTCACCTTCCCCCTCCCACCCCTTCTCCCCTCCCCTCATCTCTCACCTTCCGCCTCCTCCACCCTTCCCGTCCTCCACTCATCTCTCACCTTCCCCACCCCTCTTCTCCTCCCCTCATCTCTCACTCTTCCCCTCCCACCCTTTCCCCTCCCCCCCTCATCTCTCACCTTCCCCGCCTCCACCCTTCTCCCCTCCCCTCATCTCTCTACCTTCCCCTCCACCCTTCCCTCCTCCCCTCATCTCTCACCATTCCCGCACCTTCCCCCTCCCCTCCATGCTCTCACGCTTCCCCTACCAGCCAACCTTCCCTCCCTCCCCTCCATCTCTTCACCTGTCCCTCCTCGTTAGCCTTCATCCAACTTTCTCCTTCAACAACTCACCATCCTCCCTCCTCTCCCCCCACCCTCACTGCTTCCCCTCCCCCGCCTCACCCTTTCCTAGTCCTCCCCTTCACCTCTCACCTTCCCCCTTCTCCCCTCGTTGCTCACCTGCTCCCTTCTCGATTATACTTCATGTTCACCTTCGCCCCTCCTCGCCTCTCAACCTCCCCCAACTCACTCACAGNTCTCACCTTCCCCCTCCACCCCTTCCCTCCTCCCTTCATTGCTCACCTGTCCCTTCTCGTTAGCCTTCATGCCAAGCTTTCTCCTTCACCACTCACCATCCCCTCCTCTCCCCACCGCTCACCTTTCCCCTCCCCCTCACCCTTCCTATCTCCCTTCACCTCTCACCTTCCCTTCTCCCCTCGTTGCTCACCTGTCCCTTCTCGTTAGTCTTCATGTTCACCTTCCCCCTCCTCCCCTCACCTTCCCCCTCTCACCTCCTCCCACCACTCACCTTCCCCCTCCTCCCATCACTCACCTGCCCCTTCTCGTTCGTCTTCATGCCCAGCGCGCCGAGCTGCTTCTTGCGCATCGCCATGGCGAGCCGCTTCTTCTCCGTCTTCGTCTGCTGCCGCACCTCCAGTATGCGCTCGGCGACCTCCTCGTTGCCCTTCAAGGACTCCATGAGGTTCTCGGCCAGCGAGCCAATGTG